AAAAGGTGTGGCTCTTGATGTAGGATGTGACCGTCAGTGGTGGTGTGGCTGAGGTTTGCTGCTGCCTCCTCTGCCCACACATTGGCCACCCACCTATTCCTGCTGCAGATGAGTATAAACCAGCAAAACCAAGTTAAATAAAGAATGGACAAGGAGAATTTTTTTTTCATTTTAGTGAGACAGAAATACTCTCCACTATTGAATGGCACCTCCAGAGCATCAGGGAACTTTAATCATTTGTCCTTTTGATATCCATGGTGGAGGTGCCTACCAGAGCAGCATTAATACTTAGCAGTACTGGCAGGGCTTTTCCATTACTTCAGGCCTGAGGAACATTTACACTTTAAAAAGTTATGATATTTAAAACATATTTACTCTAAATTTGTGCTGCTTTGCAGCTTTTCCATGCTCTGATTGCAAGAGCAGAAGGAGAACTAGCCACAGGATTTAAGTGAAAGGGTTTGTCTTTTCCAAGGGAAATCACTTTTCATTTCAGTCTTAGTCAAATTTTGGACGTGGTTTTCCCAGTGATTTGGGATGAAATACCAAGAAAAATCCTCTCTGGCCAGCTCCAATAGTAAGTGCAAAAATAGAGCTGTTAACATGATACATGGTAGCTTTGACAGCAGCAACCATTTCCTTTTTGTGTAATATTACAAGAAACCAAGCACTGAGTGTTTTGAATGACCTGACACTTTTTTACACTTCATAACACTTTTTACACATGAGGTCATCCTAAATTCTTGCTTTAAGGCAGAAAAATATCATTTCCTGACGTGACAATGAACATAATCAAGTTCTTTACAGTTCTGCCAGGGCTGGTAAGGAGCCCAGATCACAATATCAGAAGTCTTGGCTTTTTAACCAAACTCACTGATGGGAGCACAAAACCCACTGATTGTGCTCTTTAATCATGAGCAGCATTTCCTTTTGGAGTGGGATGGAAAGCCGGGGTCTGGATGGGAAGGGGCCAGCTGGGGGCTGTCACTTGCTCTCTGGAAGCAGTGACCCATCCATGTTTATGGGTTCAGAGTTCCTGTTCCCCAGAGCTGCCCCTGAGCAGTGTCTGGAGCCCCTGGGAGGGGCTGGAACAGGCCTGGAGGAGGTGGTGGCTTCATCTCCTGCTCTGGGGCCTCAGCAGCCTTCGGGCTTCCACGTGTCTCTGTTGGATTTTGTGGAAGATGAGATGGTTGAATATCAGCTCTGCTTCCTCAAGAATCAAACAATAAATGACTTTATTGTGCTTTTATACTCTTTGCTATTTGTATTATCAGTTCAGTAAAATTTATATTGAATCGTAGAGAGAAGCCAGTTATTCCTTTCTGTTGTTGTTTTGCAAGAAGCCCTTCTTCTGTTCCTTAGATGCTTCTTGCCAAGGCATGGTTCTTTTCTTAAATTAGCAAAATGCTAATTTTAATTGCAAAGTGCAATTAAAAACTACTTTGCATATGTGTGGGGAAGTTCAGGAAAATATTGGGGCTCATGTACCATGTGCTTGACTGCAATATTTAAACCCATCATAGCTGGTCCAGCCATTCTCATACAATGTTTTCTAAGCGCTGCCATTCGAATCAAAATAAATCAGTACTAGACTAAGAGTGGAATAGAAGCAGTTCACAGCTCCTGGGTCATTCTGCAATATCAAGATGACCAAAACTCTCTGGAACGCTTGTCTAGTGACTTTGTGTGTCACAAAAATGTATTTTTGTGTTTACTTCGTTCTTTTAAAAAAGAGATTTCACACCTGCATTAGTTCATTCTAAATATTTAGCATTATTTTCTGAGTGAAACCAGTATTTTTCTCTCATCAGTTAGTGCAGCCTGAGATCAAAGCTGCACAATCTTAGTTACTGGGGCACAATACAGTGTGTTGGCCAACATGTTGGAACAATTTCCAGTAATTTTGGCTAAGTCTTAGAGGAAGTGGAAAGTAAGGCAGATTTACTGAAAGGGCTACACATTCCCTTACATGATCTGGAAAACAAGACTTCACACCAGAAGGTAATTGCAGTGAGCATCCAATAACAAAACCTGAAATTTAATGTTCTTTTCCCCTCTTGCTGTGGTAAGAAAAAATTATGCCTTATATCTATTAGTCTCCACTGCAAATACTATGATTTTGTTATAAACAAGCTTTTGTATCACAGCAGAGAAATAAAACTCTCTTCATGTTACACAAATTATTTCGTCTCACCAAATTTTTCCTCTGAACAGCCTCAAAGTTAATAACGTTTTGATCTCTGTGTTAACATCTTGGAAATTGCTCAGGGAGCCGAGTTATTTACATTATTTGGAGAAAAAACAAATTTTAGCCCTGGAGAATCTCGAGGGCGGAGTCACCCCTTGTTTGTGGATTTGGCTTCGCCGGGTCCCCGCGGAGCGGTTCCCAGAGCCCGGGGCCGGGGCCGCTCCCCGCCGTTCCTTGTGGGGCCGTGCCGGGCTCTGTGGGGCCGTGCCGTTCCCTGCAGCCGGGCCGTGCCGGGCTCTGTGGGGCCGTGCCGGGGCCGTGCCGTTCCCTGCAGCCGGGCCGTGCCGGGCTCTGTGGGGCCGTGCCGGGCTCTGTGGGGCCGTGCCGTTCCCTGCAGCCGGGCCCCGGGCCGGGGCTGTGCCGGGCTCTGGCGGGGCTGGCTCCCCTCGGCCGCGCCTGCCCGTGCCAACAGCTCGCGGCATTCCGTGCGCAGCCCTGGCCACCGAGCAGGAATGTTTTACTATTGTGTTACTGGGCACTGATAAAAGTTCGCAGGCTTTTTATGGTCAGGTCCTCCAAGTGGCACTTGGTGTTTTGGTGATAAGGAGGCAGAGCTCTGGCTGTTGGACCCAGCCTTATTATCTGTGACAGGGAACTGTGGCTTAAATCGCTCCACAATGACAGGAACCCCATCTGGAGTGACGGTTTCCAGAGCCTGAAACGGGAGATACTGAGGCATTTTCCTTCCTCAGGAGTCAAAGCAGAGTTAACCCCATTGTTAGCAAAAATGACACACAGTCACCGAGAGGAAGGAGGCATTTTTGCATTTAAATCTCTTCCTTTTTGTTTAAATCGGAGGAGGATAATTTGCCGTTGGGGGGGAATGAGCTGGCAGCATTACATTTACAAGCTTTCACTGGATTGCTTTAGACAATCGAAAGGAGCTCTGCTGAAGCTCCTTGTTGCGAGACTTCAGTTGCCTCAGCGTGTTTGTCACAGGAGCTGCACTCTGTGCATGTCTTGCAGCCCTTTCTTTGCAGAGCCTCCGTGCAGCTCCGTCATCGTGTGCCGGGCACTGTGCGCTGACGCCCAACGCGCCTAAAGACATTTGGGTTCTATTTGCAGAGCGCTGTGGGCTGCAGGGGTTAAGTGTAATCCAGATTACCCAGCGTTAACATTTTCCCTGCTGATATCAAAGTGTAGCAGACTGGCAGGCTGACTTGTTAGGAAGGGCTGTGAGAGGGATAACAGGCTCCGACCTTGAGAGGCCGAGCAGCCGGCCCTTGTATGGCCAAGTCCATTTGCGTGTCTGGCTATTGGTTGGAGGAGCGGCATCGGAGCTGTGACAGGTGCTGGAGGAGCCTACACCTGTTTTCCCCATATGCTGATTTAGTGATTACATTTTTGTGGGAGTTCCAGATACTGTGTGGGATACGTGGAGCAAGCCAGGAAACTTGAGAAGGAATTGCAGCTTATGGTGAACTGTGATATTAAAGAATTTCAGGCAGCGAGTTGGATTTTCAATTCTTGCTTTCAAACTGCGGTAGAAATAAGCAGGATTTTGCATATATATGAATAGCGAGGAAGTAGTATGTATTTTTTATTGTACTAAAAAATCAGTTGACAGTAAAAAAATGCTGGTGAATACTATGAGCTGAAATGTTTTGTAAATCAGAATTTCAGTGCGCAATGGAAATTGCTTCTATAGGAAAACACGGGGTTTTTTTATGGCACTGGAAACGGCAGCTTGCAGATTTCTGATCTTTAGGGGTTTTAATGTAAAATTCATGGAATATAGAAAATTTCTGACAGAAAGAAAGTATGCAACTCCGTTGTCCCTGTACGGTCCTACTGCTGCTTTATGTACGAATAACATATATATGTTTAAAATTTTTATTGCTTTACTTTTGAAACCTTAAAAAAAATTAAAGATTTTTTTTTTTACAGGTAGCGCTTTAAATACTGTTTTATTATAAATTAGAGCTTGCAGAGAAAAATTTCTGATTGTGTAATAGAGTAAAAAAGAAAAACAAGAAATACAAATATATCTTGTAATCTGGTCACGAGACCTGTAGTTTCACATCCTTTCTTTAATGGCTGGATTGTAGACAAGCTTGCTTTTTTTTTTTCCAGGGGATGTTGATGTGAGTTCTCCATCAGAAAACAGGAAGTAGCTCCATAAAGTTAGTCTGAAGGACTCTGAAAAAGCTTATATTTAGCAAACTAAGTCATTTTAGAGAGGCATTATGTAATTTCTTTTTTGCGGTTCTTGTTATCGTGCAGGATGACAGGAAGATCCTGTCTTTGTCAAGTTTCGAGACCGAATGTTACAGATATTAATGTCCTGCAGTTAGTTAACTGGATCAGAATTTTAGCCACTGTGTTTGTCACAATATAACTGTATGCTCTTCAAAATGTGAATAATAAAATTGGGATGCTAAAATCAGTTCATTAAAGATCCAGTAAACTGGCTTTTAATTACCAGTGAATACGTGAACTCCTTTGCCACAAGCATGAGTGTTCCTTGTCAGGCAACTTCTCTCCATCAGCCAGTGTCCAAAAATGATTTTGCTTGCAGTGCTGGGAGATGAAGTGGTTGTAGGGGGAAGTTACCTGCGAGATGGAACCTGGGTGAACCTTTTCTCTTTGCGTACTTTGCCACTATCTTGAAAGACTGATTCTGTCTGTTGCACAGTGAGTTTTGTCTGTGAAATTTTAATGTAGTTTCAGGGGCTCTGAATGATTCAGTAGTGTACAAAACTTCTTGGCAAGTTAGTATGATTTGTATGTGAATTTTCCAATTGTATTTCAGACCTTAAGAAAGAAAGGCCTTAATGGTTGTGAGAGCCCTGATGCTGACGATTACTTTGAGCACAGTCCACTATCGGAGGACAGATTCAGCAAACTAAATGAAGATAGTGATTTTATTTTCAAGCGAGGCCCTGTAAGTACTTTTATTTTATCTCTACTTTTTATTTGTTGATCCTTTTTATTAACTTCATTATTTAGGCTCTGAACAAGAAGGAACACAGAGGGTGCGACAGCCCGGACCCTGACACTTCATATGTGCTCACGCCACATACAGAAGAAAAATATAAAAAAATTAATGAAGAGTTTGATAATATGATGCGGAATCATAAAATCGCAGTGAGTACTAAAGTATGGTTTGTGCTTCTCTTACATGCATGAGAATTTTCATGGTGTTTGCTTACCACTGAAAACCACTTCAAAGACAAGAGGATTTAATGGCTTGAGAAGGGAAAAGGACTTCTGAGGAAAAATGAGGTTGTGATACCTGATCTTGTTAAAATACATTTTATTGTAAAGAATAAGAAGAATCTTCTCTAGCTTGGGTTTTGTACTCCCAGTTTTTCATACCTTTGGAACACAAGACAACATTTCAAAATTTCAGGAGCCTACTGCATTACCTAATCCTACCTAAAATATATTTACCAAGATAGGTTTTTGTTGTGGGGTGTAGGGTCATTTATTTACATCTTGTAGGTCTTCATCTGTCTGGTGATCAAGATTTTACAGTATGTGACAAGCAGGCAAATAGAATTGGATTAATTTTGTCATCTAACTAGTAGAATTTATTTTGCTCAAGTCTGGATGTAGAAAGTTACTTAGATATTTAAAATCAAGGCTGCTGCAGAATGAGAGCCTCAAAAGATTGCTCCACTGAAATTCCAATGGATATTTCCTTGAACACTGAGGCATATTTAACAATTTTCTGCCAAGTGCTAACCCAGTATGCAGCCATAAGTCACTTGGCTCCAGAACTTCAGTTTGGGGATAAAAGGAGTGGAAATGTTGCATGTTTTTTGTGGAGGTGTTCACAGTGACATTTAATTTCCACCTACAAAAATCAGTTAGTGTTGAGTATTGCTAAGTATTTTCTAAGCAAAATAATACAGGGCTCTGGTCCAGCCTTTGAATATTTTAAGTATGCAAATCTTGTAGCAGTTAAAGGAGATGAACTGGGTGGGTTAATCTGCACAGACCCTGGGGCACTTGAGTAGTGTCTCCAAATGACTGCTGATATTGGAAATCATTTCATCGTTCAGAGCCTAAGAGATCTCAGGGCACTGAACAGCAAACTGACAGTCATGACACCCAGCATCACTTCTGTTATGCTTGAATAAAACCAATATATTTTAGGTTTTCTTTGTTTTGAAGATTCTGATATCCGACATTTCTGTGTTGAGACATCTTTGGGCCTCATCTCTCAGTATGTTACAGCTAAATGGGTTTTTGGGGAGAAGCCCAAATGTCTGTGTGGACATCAGTGTAAATAGAAAGGGCAACATTATCTTTTAGCTCTACAGCTCTGTATTCGTAACTCAAATCTGACCAATTATGTGTTTGTTTCCAGTACTTGTGGGGCTGTACAAGAACACAGTTTCTCTTGTTCTCGAGCACTCATTGCTGTCAAAGGACAGGAATGAGGCAAAGCGTGAAGAATTCGGTCGTAACCAAATGAACACCATAGATGGGCAGGCAGCCTTCATTGTAAGGTGTGGGGGGAGGCTGTCACTTATTGGTTCTGTATTGAGAAACCTACAGAAAAAATGTTCCAGCTGTTCCCTCCTAGCAGTGTGTTCAGCAGACTTCAGGTATTTCCAGTTTAGTTTGAGCTGCTTGACAGTGTGCTGTGTAAAAACACCCTGGGTTTGGTAGATACTGAGTAGTTTCCAGTAGTTTCCCCTGAAAACAAGCACCAGCAGGGCTTGTCATTGGTTAGATACTGTGAATGATTTGCTAGCTTTGTTTTGTTCTGCTTCATTAATTTTTCCTTCCATCTGTGCCAAAAATTGATGATTATTCTTAGAATGCTTCAGTAGGGACATTGTTGTTGGCTCTCACTAGTAAGAGGTTTTGTTTCTTGTAGAGAATATATTCTGCTCTCTGAATTAGTATAGTTATCGTTATATTTCTTGTATTATCTAACTTTTCATGCAGAAGTATCATTCTAAGTGATTTTTAAGCTACAGCTGAGGAAATTGCATTTTTTAAAGTGTACTTGCTAGGTCATGTGTGTTGGTCATTTGCCTTTGACCCCTTAATCACAGCCATCACCTCTCTCTATTCTGTCAATAAATACTACTGGGGTTTTGTCCTTAAATTATACCTGTCATGGTTTTGTTTCCAGTAATTATGAGAGTTGTGAAAAAAAATAGTCCCTTTTGTTTCAGAAACCCATCACTGTCAAAGGATAGGAATGAGACAAAGGCCAAAGAAGTTAGTCATGACCAAATGAGTACCATAGATGGGCAGGCAGCTCAGCTTTTGATTCAATAGCTGTTGAATAACAAACATATATACTGCAGAAAAACAGTTGCCTTTTAAATAATGCTGTAAAAACTAGAATTAAAAAAATTAGATTTGCAAAAAAGATGGAATGGTTATTAAAGCAGGGGTTTGGGGAGCCTGAAATGTTTAAATTTAAATTATTGAACTTTGTGATTTTCTAAAGATCTGTTTATTTTTTTAATCTGTTGAAAAACAAAGTGTGAGAGATTAGTAGCAATATATTGGCAAAGTTATTATGTTATTAGAAAATGTTATTACTAACTTGTTCTTTTTTGTGTGATAATTGTTTGTAATGTGCATGTTTATGCTTACATTTTGAAGGTACAACAGTTCATTGATTTGTAGACATGTTTAGCTTGTCATTGCTTTGTAATAATCCAAATTAACTGTTAGATTTATTGTATTTATAAGCTTGTGAATTCATGTGAATACTTTTAGTTTTCTCTGTTTGAACTTTACATATTTGAGAAGTTGGAGTAATTCTTTGGCACTGTAAATCATGTCATGTATAAGAATTTAACACCATACTTTACAACAAATGGATGTTTTAAAACTGTACGCTTAATAGAGTTTAAAAACTAACAGAATTAACTTTAATAAAAACCAACAAACTGCCATGACAGAATTTTTCTGATGTGCTGTTTCTGCAAACACAGTTCGTGCTAACGGCGCTGTCTCCTTGTTCCTCGTCCTCTCTCCCGCAGCCCGGCCTGCCCGCCCAGAACTTCTCCATGTCGGTGACGGTTCCGGTGTCCAATCCCAACACTTTAACCTACAGCAACCCCGGGAGCTCCCTGGTGTCCCCATCCCTGGCTGCCAGCTCCTCTCTGACGGACACCACCATGCTGTCCCCACCCCAGAGCACCCTGCACCGCAACGTGTCCCCCGGGGCGCCGCAGAGACCGCCCAGCGCCGGCAACGCAGGTGAGGCTGCTGCTGCTGCTGCCCCCCCTCCTTCCACACCTGCCCATCCCCTGCCAGAGCCCACAGGAGCCCTCCTGAGTAACAGGCTCTCAGTGCTGCCAGTGCATTTGCACAGCTCAAGTTTTGACGTACAGAATTCCACGGTACTGTAATGGGGCAAGTCAGTTTAATGCTCTGGCTTATTTTGATTAGGTGGAATGCTGGGGACAACTGATCTCTCAGTGCCAAATGGAGCTGGTACCAGTCCAGTGGGTAAGTGCAGTACCGTGTCTTTGTTATAAAAAATAGTCTCGTGGTTTCAGTTTCTCAGTTTTTCAAAAGCAATTTTTTATTTTGACTCTTTGGAAAAAGTGGCTGTGGGAGAACAAAGGTTGTAATTTTTTTAGCTGCACTGTTATTGTCAAGTTTTATAAATTATTATCAGGCATTTAACTTTTTACTGCTGTGCCCTTTCCACTTCAGTTATATTTGCCTTTTTTATTTTAGTGGTTTTCAGTAGTAGCGTGCTGCTGCTTTTGTGTTTCTCTACAGGTGTAATTGCAGCATTCTAGAAACATCTTATGTTTGCCAAATCTGAACTGTTGCACTAAAGGCAGCTCAGCTCAGTTCTCAACTTCAGTATTTGCAGGACCTGGATGTTTGATGCTGGTTGTGGTGCCAGTCAGAATGAAGCAAATACAGACTGTGTTGTTTGTATTGCCATGTGTATCTTGCTAATAATTTTCTAGCAATTACACGAAGAAAGCAATAAATCTTGGAAACTGATAGCTAGGGTCTGTCTTAGTTTTGGATGATGATCAGAATTTCTTTTGAAAACAAATTAGAGATCTCGCCAAAAATCAAATCCACAATATTTTTTGGCCTTCAGTAAAAATATATGATAGCACTTTTTCATTTCAATAATATTTTGTCTCCCCTAAACAAAATTTAGCACTCTGATAGAGAGGCAGGCAGCCACTGAAATGTGCCGTGCCACAGACAGACAAAATAAATGACAGCTCACCCACTTTGGTCACATTCCTCCTGTGCCTCTGGAAGCCGTGCTGGCTGAAGGTCAGTTTAGCAAACACACCCAACTCCCCTTGGGAAGTGTTCACAGCATGGAATTAGAGAAGCAACTGTTGACCTTTCAGTGTTTGCCCACTGGCTACTTAGTGTGGCAGCTGGGAAAAAGTTCTTTGAACATCAAGTCAGGCAATTGAATTGATGAATAAAAAATGCTGCAACTCTCCAAGGCTGAAAGCACAGGATTGACTTTCCACTCTTTATCCACTCCTTGGCTATGTGCAGCAAAGATATGAAATATTAAAGAGTGGTTTCCATCAGGTAAGCAAGATTTTAAATGGAGGAAGCTTCCTCAGTTGAAAAAAGATTACTATTTTTAGAAACTGTAGAGGTCAGATGTTGATTTCCGTATAATTTTTCGAGTCAGACTAAATAAGTTTATTATCAGGCTGTTTCAGGCCTCTTTTCCCAAATCAGGCTTTATTAAGAGAACCTTCAGATTTAAGACTCCTTCCTTCAATAAGCAAATAAAACAGTGGTTATAGGGTATCAAACTCTAGAAATGCCCAGTTACAGCAGCTTGGGGGACATATTTAATGCAGTAAAATGTTTTCCTCCTTGCATTTATTAATAGTTTATGTAAAAAGTCAAAATGCATCACTTATCTCTTACATTGCAGAATATCACACCCAAGATGTTATACATATACCCACTCACTTCTAGAAAGGTTTGTCATGCAAGTGAGAGTTGTGACTGTACAAGAACAGGGGAACGTCTTTAGTGAAACTCAAATACCTGCTTAACACCAGAATGCTAAATTAGAGGGGTACCCAGAGTTGTCAGAGCTCCACTTGCTGTAAGTTCTGGCATAAAAACTTTGTAACTATTGACAGGTGCACAGGAACCTTCTCAGTTACAGCCACAATCAAGAAATCATACGTAACCAGATTGACTAAATCTGCTGTCAACTTGAGCTTGACAGCTGCTGTTGAAATGTATCTCATGTTAATTATGTCTGCAGACAATAATGGTTTTAGTTTCTTGCTGCACTTATTGTAGAATTCACTTTTAAAAAATGTATTTTCTGCTTTTAGCTTCCAGGTTGGGGTTTTTTTTTTTAACTTCTCAGGAATGGAGAATTCTCCTGTGGGTTTAGTGAAAGGTCACGTGCCAAATTTGCAGCTCACAATTTATAGGAGTGATGTCAGAGGTAAAGATGGAGTACTGGCATATCCATGTTCCCATATATTCTCTTACAAATAAAGGAAAACTCCATCTTCTTCAATATTGTGAAGTTCTTGGGAATCTGAGGTTTTGTTCTCATTTTCTTGAAAGACACTTACATGCCTTTATCTCTTAGTAACAAGCAAGTAAAGGTTATCTTGCTTATTTGGGACCCAGTTCAAACAAAGATGTTGCATAAAATGGCTCATATTGAGTTCACACAAGTCCTTTTCTCAAGTCCTGTGTAACTGGATTGGAATGGAAATGATTTGCTTTAGCAGTCAATCTGCCAACTTAACAGTTTTTCTGTGGAAAATAACTTTGAGTAAAAATATCTGCATGTTGTAGCAAAGATTGGTAGGTGGTTTTTTATATCCAGAACAGAAAATTTTGTGATCACTTTATAATACTGAGAGCTTACTTCACATGCAGCTGTCATAACTCTGAAAAAGCATTTTCATTTTGTAATATTTTTAAAATTCTACCCACCACATAAAAAACATTTGCTGAAAATTTTTACTTGGCAAATATACCAGTTTTGAGAGGGAAAAAATGTCCAGCATTATAATGGAGTTTGCTCTAGAGCTAATTTATTATTTTTGTTAATTAGATTAAATGTTTCTGAGCTAGATCATTGATGATCTTGTTGTTCCTGGTCAATGTTCAATGGACATCAAACGTGCTTCAGGAGTCTCAGATCACCAGGATGGGGAGAACACTTCAGGCAAAGTAGAACCTCACATGCCCAGATACAGAGGAGAGTTTCTTTGGCTTAGGGATGGATGGATGGATGGAGGGATGGACGGATGGGTAAGGGATGGATGGATGGATGGATGGATGACATTCCAGTTTGCCATGAGAGCTGCTTTGCTGTGTTCCAGTGGATTGGTATCACCCCATGAAGCATCCCCAGGTTCCCAGTGGAATGCACTTGCAGTGACCTTGTGCCATCCTTGAGGACTCTGAGAACCAGAAAAGCTCAGAAGTAGCACCACAATTACTCAGTCTCTGCTTTTTCTTTCACACCTTTCACGTGTGCTGTTGAGCCAGAACCATGCCAAGGACCTGAGCTGGTTTTCAGTGCCAAGGCTGCATGAAAACCATAAACCTTGAGACCTAAATTCTTCCCAGTCCCAGGGGATTCTTAAGGAATTTTTGGAAGTGGAGGCTGTTTATGATTTCACAAAGGCACAGTATTTTCTGTCTGTGCATTTCTGTGTCAGTGAAACAGCCCTTCTGATCAATAATGCAGATTAAGGACACAGGTAATCTTTTGGAAAAGAAGAAAAAAATAAGAAGAAATTCTCTTTCCTCTTACATTTTTACCAGGACAATGGATAAAAAGATCTGGTCTGTTTGACTACTGAATTTCTCCTCTTTGTTCCAGAGCTATATGTTCTCTAATGCCCTCACTAATCTTCAGGTTCTGAGAATGTGAAGTAACCTCAGGAATACTGATTTTATTTGGAGCAGAACTGAAGGGTGTATCTGCTGGAAAAGCTGTGAGCTGTTGGATCTCTACTAAGAGTCAGTGTAGATCATGTGTGGTCTTTTATCCTGGCCCGAGGAGGGGTTTTGCAGAGGTGCCACTGACAGCTTGCACACACCTGTAAACTGCTTGGAGTTGCCAGAAAGGGATCAAGACAGAACTGGGAATAGCCACACCTGTAAATGGTTCCCTTTGTCTTGAGGGCTTGGCTGATGGGGGAGGATAAAAGAATCTCTGAGCTTGGTTTTGCGCAAGTCTGAATCTGCAGCAATCTGGAGTGCACAGAGGCTTCAGTAACAGAAAGGCTCTGTGCACACCTTTCTAGTCCAGTTTGGTTTGTGGAATGAGAGACACCCCAGCAGGGGTGTCCAGCTGGCTCCTGAGAAACACCTCATGCAGTTTCATGCAAATATTCTGCACTGATGCTGTCAGCATCTTCCTTAAGAAAGCAGCTTTCTTCTGCCTCTGCCCCACTGACATTTCCACAATGTCCCTTTGCCAGCCTATTAACCTGCATCAGCTCCAAGCCTTGGCCCTGTGGGAGAGGACCACAGAGGAAAGCAGTTGCAAATAAACCCTGAGAGCATGGTCCTGCTTCAGGCTGTGCACTCCTGTGCTGTTTCAGGTCTGGGCTTCCTCTTCAGTGTGGCAGGTAGGAGCAGTCCCAGGCAGTGTTTCCCTGGTGAGAGCTCCTCACTTCCCAGCTGTGTGGAAGGGATCTGACTTCAGAGTGTTGGTTCACCTGCTGCCAGGTGCAGCACACAGAGGTTCCTGCTCTCAGCACTGTCAGCCATGGTGGCTTTGCCTTGCTCTGGGCTCTGGCAGGACAGGTCAGTGCAGCAGGGAAGGGGCTCAGGCATCCCTGAGGAACATCCAGCCTGTGCACTGCTGCAGCTGCCAGGCTCTCCTGGAGGAAAGGGACTTGTGGGAGGGGGCTGCAGAGCAGCTGTTCCACAGGGTATGGGCTGAACCTTTTCCTTTGCTAACAAAGGCTCATCCATCCATCCATCCATCCATCCATCCATCCATCCATCCATCCATCTCTCTCTGATTAAATCAGCTCACAAGAAATGAGTGGCTAAAATCAGCATTAAAAATGTGCTGGCAAGAAGAAAGAAAGAAAGAATTGGATATTTTTTTTTTACTGTAGCTCTTTCTCCTTGGAAACCACCCATCTGCATGACATGAGGTCAGTTCAGCCCCTGAAGTACCCTTGGTTTCAGTTCAAATTTCATATCTTGCTGTATGTGTTTGTTATGTTACCAAAATTTCTGATTTACTGAGAGGTACATGACAATTCTGGTTAGAATTTGCCATACAGAGAACAAATTGTTAATCTCCCAACTGGGTTAAAGTAAGTCTCAACATTTACATAATGTCCCCTTGCTCAGGATACAGTCACATCCTAGGTGGTTTTAAACCTGCCATTCCTCTCCTCCTTTCTTTGCCACTCTTTACATTGGCTTTGTATAGACACACAGAAATCAGCAAGTTTAGGAAGTAAAGTGATGTAATTAACTGTAATCTGTCTAATTGACAGAAGACCTTAAGGACATCCAGTTGCTGTTGGTGATGTTTCACTCAGCTACAAGAGCAATATGCCTTTATTTAGGTTTGCTATGGCATTCTGAACAATAACCACCCCTTTAAATTCTAAATATCCTTGAAAATTCTTTCTCCTTTTATGTAGCTGTAGGCAAAAGAAAATTTCCAACAACCTGGGAAATGAGCTCTTTTTAAGTTCTGTAACATGACTAAGCATTCCCTTGACATTTAGTCATGTGTATTTCTTTTTTGCTGCCTTCTAATATCTAAAGTACTGCCTTAGAAGCATAAATCTTACATGTTAGACAGGTTTCAAGACCTTATATTACTATCAAAGGTATTGATTTGTAAAGATCAGTAGGAATACATTTATTTCAGATTCCTTGAGAATTAAATTCTTTCCAAAGCTAATATAGAACTGGAGCTTTTTGAAACAATGGTAGAATCAGCAGTGAGTGTTGTACAGAGCTGAAAATGGTAGGAATGGCATATGCTGTTTTTAATTTGCACTTGAATCTGTCAAACTAACCCCAAAGTAAACAAATTGAGCAACTAATGCACACAGAAATGCTGTTGTTGGTTTTACTTGCAATATGTTCCCCTGCCCAAGGTTCTTCATGTCAATGTTTTCCTACAGTAGATCTTATCTGGCCTCCTGATGCCTTGTGAATCAATGGCTTGTTGCAAACACGATTTTCAGTTTGCTTCTAATTGTGTGACGTCTGTTGGCTTTTATGATGTCACTGGAGGCATAAATATTTATTTACTACAATCCTTACTTTTGTTTAATCTTACATGGCTTAGCTGCTTGTCCACAATTACTCCAAAACTGTGTATAACTGTGTTCAGTCTTTCTCCAAAATGAACAACAGCAAAAAAAAAAAAAAAAAAAAAACAAAAAAAAAAAAAAACCCACACAAAAACAAACAAACAGAACCCAAAAACCATAAAAAAAACCACAACCAAAAAGACACCCCAAAACAACCAAATAAAACCACCAAAAAAGAAAGATTAATGGCATCAATGCCTGTAATTTATTCCTTGAGTAGTAATAAGTACACGGAGTACTTTCCAGCCACGTGTGTTCATTGTTTCAGCTGATGTGATTTATACAGTGAAATATGAGTCTGGCTCATGTAATTGAATGCTGTGTCTTGGGCTGCAGGACAGTAAATGAGATTAAGCTGTATTATGTCTCTGAAGGCAGAATATCCAGTTGGTATCATGGGTGGGTTGTAACATTTCCCTTCAGAAAAAAAGTTGCTTCAAAAGTAAACACTTTCTGACTAAACAAGAAGTAAGCTAATGTACGTTGGCAGGTTTTGTTATCATCAAATCTAATTAAATTATGATTCATATAATTGAGAGCTTATATTTGCATTGGTGTCTGTTTTCCAAAGGACTGTTTTGAACATGCTTTCACGTCTGTTTTAAGGAATTAGAGTTAAATAAAACTCTTCCTTTGGAATTAAAAACAGTTGTATTTTTACACATATGTGGGATTTTATATTCTGTTTCGATTTCCAGTTTGAAAACATTTTTAAACATAAAGTATTGTCTTTGGGGAAGATCTGTAGCAGGTCAGATAGAAACAATTTCTGTATTATATGAAATAGTAAGTAGAATTTATGGGGTTATTAAGGCCTTGGTTTGGCAAAGGGCTGTGTAGTTGCATCATCCTGTACTCATTATCTTTTTCTGGCTCCTGACCTTGCTCCAAGAAATACCACACATTTAGTTATCCTTTCACTCTTAACTGGTAATTTGATTTTCTTATTAGATTATTAAAAGGAAAAAGGCTTGAAGTTTCATACTAAAAAGGAATATTCTGCACTCTTATTGGAGCCCCAGCATATGATCCCTCAGGTGATCAATACAGACACTCCAGTGTTTGCTCAGTGTTCAGTGCCAGCTCTTTATCACAAAGGGCTGCTATTGGATTCATACCCATAGTATTGCACACTTAGGAGATTTTTTATTCCTGTTCCTCCCATTTTAATTTATTCTAAACACTCCTTTGGAGAAGTGCTCAGCCTTTTGTCAGAAGAAATGCTTTGGCTGCCCTGCTGCCGCCTGATACTGCACAGAGCAGGCAGTGGCAGAGAGTTTGTTGTTTTTGACAGCAGCACTAAAAGCATGAAATGTTTCTGAAGGATTGGCAGAGCCCTGGAATAAGGGCTCAGGAAATGACTGGATTGGGTGTGGAAGAGAGACACTGTCCAGATTTAACACACGGGCTACCGAAATACTTGAACCAGAGGACAGGAAATGGTATCATAGGATGGCCCAAAGTGTACAGAACCCACTGTTTGTACAGAGTGGGATTGTTGGGCAGCTTGAACTGCTCACAGCTCACAGCCCTGCCTTGGAAAGGTGACACTGCCAGCCCCAGTGAGCAATAAAATGCTATTTATTGTTGCATTAAAGCCCAGACTTTACATCCGTTGTAACAGTAAGTTCTTTAAATGCTCTGGCATTTTTGCTGAAAATGGGAGGTGCCATAATGAAGTTTCAGATATAATTTGGTGAAAATTATGCCATTTTCTGGAATTTTTCCTCCCTAGAGTGTTTGCAAATCCATTTAATTTTTACTCTGTCCATTGTGGAGGATGTCTCTCAATCTCTGCAGGCTGGCTGTAGCTCATTCTGCTCTCATTTATAATGGATAGGAATTGATGCATAACTGTGTTAACAAAATCAAGATTCTACGAAAACCATCTCTGTTTCAGGAACCTTAAGGGTAGCAGAGAACTAAATTTCTCCTTTTGGCTTGTTGGTTTTTCCATGTGACCCAGCTGTGGAGAGTTTTCTCCTACCAGTCAAGAGTATATTTAGCTCTAGTGTGTATTCTCAGCTCCAACCCAACTTTTCAACCACTCCACCTAAATTTTATCACTAACATAGAAGCATCTGAATAAATTCTGCTGTTTTCTGCTGAGGAATGTAGATCCTTTAATCACAAAATCAGTTTCTGCTGTGGATTTTAATACAGAAGGAAGAATGCTGACATCAAAAACTTGACTTTCTGCTGTGTTCCTTCTTTCCCCCATAAGTTCTGAGTTAAAAGTCATATTCCCATACCTCCTATGCAAATGCTTCAGGAAAGTACTAAATTAGAATGACTCCTCCTTGCTCTGTTAACCTTGGAAAACTCAGGGGACATATCAGATCATCCATGTATGGTCAGGCTTTTGGCACAGTGGGAAATGCACATAGTGAGTAAATCCAGAGGAGGCCTCCTCACAGCATCCTGGTGAATTCCCATCGAGGTTCTCAGTGTGCCCTGGCTGAGTATCTTGGTAGTGCCAGGCACCTCCATGACGTTTTTTGCCCTTGCTGAGACATGTTGCTGTTCTTCCTTTTTGCTGTGCTTTTAAAGGCATTAAAAATGTTGCTAAAGAAGTAGAATGTGACACTGACAACTTTCTTATTTTAATTGCTTTTAGATTAATATGTATTTAATGCAATAAAATTGGATTGGGCATAGGGGCCTATTCAAATTAGAATAATAATGCAAAATTCATGCCAGCGTGGCGCTATGGGCGATTAAGAGAGAATTTCCCACACAGTGAACTTTGTCTCACAGACTTTTCCCTGATTGTGCCTATAAAAGCTGCTTTCAGACCTGCAGTGTTAGTGCAAACAGAATCTCACTATGAATTGTGTTTATTTATACACACACACACACAGGTTCTGTAGGGTGAACTATGGGGTTCCCTGTTGCAAAATTCTCCTTAACAACTTTTTTTCTGTTTGCAGCTGAATAAGGTTTGTGTATTTTGGGAATTGTTGCTATAAATATGTTTCTGTTATTGGAATGTGGCTTTAAAGTTTTTTCTGAGAACTATATTTTGGTTAACATGATTGGTGCTTCTGTCAGGATGGGAAAATAGAATACTGGACACTTGACTGATTTACTGCCTTGCTGTTGTTTTCTGGTCAGTTCTGAGTGTGAGCTGAGGCCTCTACCTTGAGCGTATTCAACTCTTGGAGATTTCAGTGCTGAATCCTGGACCTGTAGGCTTTGGCTTGTCCAATTCCTCTTAAAATGAGTGCCAGGAGTAAGGCAAAGACTTTGTTAAAGAAACCTATGGGCATAAATGATGTGTGTATCTGGAATGAATTTGAAGGGAAAGGATTTATTCCCCTCATTGTTGCTAAATATAATCATCAGACAGTAAGTGTTGATACTGAAATTAGTCCTACATGTCTTGGAGGTATATAAAGAATAAATTTTAGGGACTTTAAGAGCTGATCTTTCGTTCTCACAGCAGCAATTCAGTGTGGTCCATGCTCTCTCTGTGGGGGTGGGGACCAAGAGGGGTTGTGCAAAACGCTCACTTTTCTGCAGGCTCAGCCTGGAGGAGCTTCAAAGGGCAAACTAAACACAACGGATGTTATTAGAAATAGTTCTTTGGCAATTTGCTCTTCTCAGCGTTTAAGCTGCCACAGCGTGCCCTTGAAGTGATATTCCCTTTCCATATTGATCCTCTGGCCAGAGTGGTTTGTGCTTGTTCAATTGTTCAATACTCAGCCCCTTGTGGGAAGTTTGTTATCGGAAGTTTTACGAAATAAATATTTCATAACTGCTACATGAGCACCAAAATTTTGTATTGTCCTTCTCAGTCTTACGGTGCATTCGTTTTTCCTCTTTCAGGAAATGGGTTTGTGAATTCCCGAGCTTCACCAAGTCTACTTGGTACCAGTGGTGGTGGGAATGGCCTAGGCAAAGTCATGCCTACAAAGTCCCCACCTCCACCAGGAGGAGGAAACCTTGGCATGAACAACCGCAAACCCGACCTCCGTGTCGTCATCCCACCCTCCAGCAAGGGCATGATGCCACCACTGGTGAGTTCAAACATTTACAGTTCTGGGTCTGGCTTTGTGGAAATGGGCTGTTCTGCCCACATGTACAGGGAGAAACTGGCTCACCTGCTTGCCATAGGGCACAGGAATAGTGGGGTGTTTGTATTCTGAAATGCCACTGATGAAAGTCAGAAGCACAGATTGTGATGTGGGGAGAAGTTCAGCTTGTGAGGAATTTTTACAGCTGCAAAACAGCAGTCTGACCTGAATGTGGTAAGAGCACAATCATAGAGACAGGGCTGGGGTGTTTTGATCTGACATCCCTCTGACTGGGTACTGAGAACTCCGGTGGTTTGGAGGATGTGGGTTTTAAAAAGGGTTATCCATTATTCTGTGGAGGAATGGCTGATCTTATTGGTGATGTGAGCTCTATTAATGTGCCCTAAAGCACATTTTGTACCTGTTTTTCCTGGGTCGTAATGGCTGTGGGATGTGAAGAGCAGCTTCTGTGGTGAGGAAGGGCTGAGAGCAGCAGTGCTGTGATGTGGCACCGTGGAACGTGCCCTTGCCTGTCCTCGGGGCTCTCGTGTCCCCAGCAGGGCCATCAAAGGGCCCTGAGTGCTCTGCAGGGCTGCTCTGCTCCCTGGCACCACTGTTTGTCCAGCCAGGCTGGGAACAGCACGCAGCTCTGTGTCAGCCATGAGGCAGCCACGGCCTCAGCCCAGAACGGGTCTTGCAGGAAGTGTTGCTCTGTTTTTCCTTTAATTTACTTGGCCAAATCCTTTGGTCCTCGTTTTTTGCTGCCATGTAGAAATTTTCAGTGTCTCTGTGGATGTTTTCTGTATATGGAAGAATGGGCCATAACCAGGAGGAGCAGGATATAAACAACACAAGTACTCTCTATATAATTCCTGTTTGTCTTTAAGCTACAACAAGCGCTTACATTTGCTACTGGTACTCGTGATGAATAATGCCAAATTAATCCAAGTAACAAAAGCTATAATTAGCCTCAGAGTAATGATTCTTGAAAAAAAAAAAGGTTTTCTAGGAATACTGAAATGTAGGAGAGATAGGAAGTACACTGGCTGATCATTACAGTGACAATTACACTTTTAATTAGAAATAGAAGCATTAATGCAGTTCTGATGTTAGTGGTGCACAGCACCTGTTTAATGTTGTGTTGTGAAGAACAACATCATATTCAGCTTTGGGTTTGTCTGTGTTTTTGGGGGAATTAGGAGATTTCAGAGTAGATGCTGGCATGGAATGATGGTTGTATGTGAAAGTATTTTGTTGCTGAGCTGGTTTATTGGATCAGTGCAGGCAGAGGCTGCTGTGCTGCACATCCCCGTGTCCTTGGGGTCACCAGGCTCTTGCTGCACCAATTTCCCCAAAGCCATTGTTCTCAGAACAGCAGGGTTTGTGTGACACCAATTTCATCAAGTATTACATTTCTAGCAGTATTATCTACAGAATCAGGTAGCAAATCCACATTATTAATTAAAATGAATCAAAATCCTGAAGCACAAACGTGATCTTTTCTTTCATTTGAAAGCAATGCTATTTTTAGTAACTGTGTTATCCCTCTTGTTTGCTGAGTACAGTCGGAGGAGGATGAATTGGAGTTGGTGAGTTTGGGCTGCTGTTTGCTGAGAGACAGCAAGATGCTGGAAATGTCTTTCACTACAGCTTTTTAACTGTAGTTTCATTACATATTTTAAATAATTCCAGTGTTCCCTTGGTAGCAGACAAAAATATATTTGTTTTATCAAACTAAAAACCCGACCAATTCAAGTTGAAAACACGTTCAAAGTCAGTGCTTGCCATTTGTAAACTTCCAATTTTTTTTCCTGAAAATGTTTCTGTTTTTCTTGGAGGGAACATTGGAAAAGAGCCTTACAAAGTAACTGTCCATGTGTATAGGATGTGTACTGCCTTCTGTATGAAATACAAATAATCACTTCCTATCCCCTCAATTATTGGAATATTTTTAGGAAGTGGCTTCACTTGTGAAGTTCAGATTGCAACACCAGCCCTGTGTTACTTCTCTTCCTTTCAAGGAGATGACATCATTGCTGGTGAGGTCACCTTTTCGGAGGTTAGAATTATTTCATCCTGCGTGAGATTATCAAACCACAGGGGTGTTCCCTGTTTACCAAAAGGAACAGAGAATTGCAAATGAATAATTCTACCTTTTTTCCAGTGGAAAGATATTCTGCTTTTAAAAGGAAACTCTTGGGATTTGAGTGTTTTCTATTTTTTTTTCCCTAAAGGTTTTAACATTTGGCATTCTGTCTGGAAAATCAACGTAAGGCTAAAATAATTCGTAACTTATTTTTAGAGCAAATTTCAAATTGTTTGGCTGCTGTGGCACAAACCAGGCACAAGATGCTGTGTCAGAATCACAGAGAAATAAATCGACCTATTGCAGACCTTGACTTCTTGTTGAACATGGACCTGTTGCTCATATGAGGCTCTAATTGCATGAAAGCATGGAAAAATTAGTGATTTAGATAAATTTCTTGATGAATGCATGCTGCTGGTTGATTTTTACCTTAAACATGAGAAATAGATTTAAAAAGTAAGGGAAAACGTTTTTTGAAATACAAATTGAAGTTTTTAAGCATTATTGGGATGTCTTGCTAATCGAGCAGTGAAAGAGCTCTCCCACTTTCCTCTTGTCTTCAGAGAGGAGTGTCTGGTTTTGAGTGCAAGAAGGAAATCTCAGTGTAAAAACAATTGATCAGATATCATTGGAATTGGGATTGGGATTGAATTGGGGTTGTGATTGGGATTGAATTGAATTGGGATTGTGATTGGGATTGGATAGGGATTGGGATGGGAGCCCTCGGCCCCTGCCCGGGGCAGCAGGCGCGGATGCCGCGTGCACATTGGGCCATCTAGTGATGGAAGTGGGAGCAGCTCTGCCAGGAGCAGCACAAGGGAAGGTGCAGGGTCTGCCTCAGAGTGGCAAACAAACACAGCTACACCTGCAGGCTTCAGTCTGGTGCTGATCCCCGTGCTGGGAAGCAGCTCCAAATCCCAGCTGTGAGCGCTCGCTCTGTGCTCGGAGCTGAGCGCTGAATGTGAAAAGCAGCTACCAACGGTAGCAGAGCATGAAATAAAGATACTGAGTTCTTCCTGCTGCATTTGCACCAGTTAAAAAGATTTTTTAAAAAATCCTGAAATTTGTCATGGAAGGACAACAAATATTGGGCTGATTTAAGTATTAGTATTGCTTAGTGTCTTTGTGTGGCTGCGTGTTCCAAGAATTATATTCAGAAAGAATTTACCTCAGAAAACCACCTTTATTAGCCACTCAAAAAAAAAAAAAAATCCCATAAGGAAATCCTTTGGTCTGGATTGTTTCCCAGTATATTCCTCTTTACTTTTCCATTATGCAGTAATCCCAACTTTATAGGCAGCCATCCAAGAAAGCTTTGGAGAAAGGTCAATTCCTGACAGACACAAAAATCTGCTCTAATAACATCTCTTTATGCCAGATAAACTTGGTCTAGGGGAGATTTTCAGAAGTACGTAAGTGATTTAAAGGGATCAATTACAGAAAATCAGAGGGACTTTCTCTGGGAGCTTTGAAACCTGGGAGCTCTGAAGCAGAGTGGGCACATCTGCCACTGTGTGTGTTTGGCAACAAATGCCAAAGAGCCCCCAAATCCTCAGGAGGCTCAAAGATGGGAATTCAAGAGCAGCCAGACACAAGAGAGATCAGAAGCTGGCAGCCAGTGACAGCTGTGGCTAATTTTAATATGGGAGCTGTGATATATATTTCTTTCTTTAAATGGGAAAGATACAAGATTGATAACCCTCAATTCATCTTCATAAATTTAAGCTTAAATTGAACACAGCCCCATTTCTGTACCTGCTCATTCTGATATTTTTAAGGGAATGATGAATTTTTAATGCTGCTCGTTCTCTCAAGATTAGAGTGGAGAAAAAATTTAAGTGCTGCAGATCCTGAAATACCTGTGTCTGAAATAAGGGAAAGGAGTAGTAACTTCAGTTTTGTAAAGTTATGAAATGGATCCCTACCAAAGAGATGAGAAACTGCTCCTTTTGTAGCAAATATTTTTTCAGAGATAGAAGTTTGCTTTAAGAAAATGTTATTTTCAGCAGATTGAATCCCAGCTCCTTGTAGAAATACAGGGTGTAGAAACTACTGCTCTTTCTAAGAATTCTGCAGATAAAAGCAAATATCTGTTCTTGAAAAATAAAACCCTAGCATTTTGTTCTTGACAGTATTTGTCATGGCCAAATGGTGTTGAACCTCGTATTTTTCAGGAAGATTTGCAGTTATCACTGTGGAGAGCAGAACATTCTGTGGCAGCAGCTTTGCTGTCTGGTGCTGTTCACCACAGTGTTTAATTAATTTTCTAACCAGCAAATTTGGTTAGAGCTTATTTCAAGTGATATGTTTGCTGCAGATGTTCATTCCAGTATATAGGAAGGACTATTATTAAAAAGCCAAATTGTGCCCACAGTTGAATTATCTGAGACAATCTAGTTTAGCCATTTTCCCTGTCAGAAAAGCACCGTTGCTCTTTGTGAACTCCAGTGTCATTTGCTTGGAAACATATCTGCATTATAACAAGTGCTCTCTCAGTTTCTCAGGAACCATGGGAACAGCAAGATTATTTTATCACTGAAGTCTTATCAACACAAATTTAGAAGATCTCTGTGTTCCTTTCAGGACAGGTGTAGTCAGCACAGTGTCAAAACTGGCAGCTGAAATTTGGAAAATTGGATAAACAACTGTGAAGTGGGAGAATCTCTTCTGGTGGAACTGCACCTCACCATCTGCACTAAAACCTCTTTAAAAATAAGACTCGAAACTCTTAAATCACTTAAGAACTTCTGAGAATTGTTGTGTGTATCCCTAAGAAATTGCATTAATTTTTGTGTGTCCTACAATGCTAACACTGTTGAAATCTGCATGCTTGGGAAGCGGCCCAGTGAGCCTTCAATTAATTTTTCATTTCACTTTGGCAAGATCGTTTTGGTTGTCTTGAAATATTTTAGCTTTTTTAGAAAACCAATCCTGACAAAAAGGATGCGTTCCTAACTCAGACACAGCAGAGCAGCAGGCTGGGATGCAATGCTCTGTTACACTGGCACTGCATTTCCCCTTGTTCTCCTGGGCTCACGAGGTTTGTTGTTTCCCTCCTTGCAGAACACCCAAAGGATAAGCAGTTCTCAGTCCACGCAGCCCCTGGCCACCCCCGTGCTGTCGGTGACGACCCCGAGCCTGCCCCCGCAGGGCCTGGTGTACACGGCCAGCTGGGACAGCGCCCCCAGCACCGGTAAGTGCTGCTGCCTGCCTGGAGCAGGGCCTGCAGAGAGCCCGGGGGCACGGGCATGGCTGTGCCCACGCCTGTGCCCACACCTGTGCCCACGCCTCACACCTGTGCCCACACCTGTGCCCACACCTGTGCCCACACCTCACACCTGTGCCCACACCGGGTGATTTCAGCTCTCCTGGGATCCGGGCCCCACACAAGGAGGGACGGGGTCTGTGTGGGGTTCCAGGGAGAGCCTTTGTTGAGCTCCTTCCTCAGAAGGGTGCAGGGGTGAAGGCCCCTGAGGCAGGGAGAGCCGGGGTTTATATGGGGAGCTTGAGGGGTGGGACGGAGCACCCGAGCAATGGGATGAGGGCACAGGGGTGGAACAGAGGGGAGGGACCAGTAGGGTACATCTCATCTACATGCAACGGCAGGGCATGCTGGGAGAAGCTTTTTTGTCACCCTAACCATGGAGGCTGTCACCTGAGGGGTTGAGGGGAGCGTTGTGGATTCTTCTCCCTCTTGGCCCACTGGCCTCCACAGCTGGGGTCAGGGCTGGGACTGCACACAGGAGTTAGAAGCCCAGGAAATTCACATTTCTGTGACACCTGACTTTGTTTTCCTCTTCAGTTCAAACGAAGGCTCTTACTCATCAAAACTGAGCCTGTAGCAATCCCGCTGGGAACTGGAGTGCCTCACCTTTGGGCAATAGCTGATCCTTCAGTACTTCTCTTCTTCAGATACTTTTATTGTCTGCAGGACCTTAAAACAACTTTTTATCCAGGCTGGGTGTGATGTAAGGCATTTGGTAATGTAAAAGTGATGAGTGGTTTGCTGGTTGGGAAAGTAGTTCATGAAAGTCAAGTACTAAGTGATGGAACGTGAGGCAATGGCAGCCTCAGGTTGCACAAGGGGAGGTTTAGGTTGGGTAGCTCTGGTGTTCAGTGGCTGTTCAGAGCAAACCCTTGTGCTCCCTGCCCAGAGGAGCCTCAGGGAGTTTCACCTGACACAGCCCTTCTGTCCAGGATGCTGTTGCAGGGAGCAGCTGGGTGCATCCCTCACTCAATAACCTGGGAGCTGCTGCAACACCAAAAGCTGAGGGGGGCTGGAACCTCAGGAAGCAGAAAAAGCACTGGGAACTGATGTCCTACGTAATGGACAAGTGCTGGGCTGTGATTTTAAACTCCAGCCCGTTTCCTTTGAGAATGCAAATCATTTGTGCAAAGCTTTCAGCCTTTAGTGGTTTTCACACACTTCAGAATAATTTCTATTAGATTGAACCTTTCAGGGGATTTTCAGGAAGAAATTTGATGTTAAAGCCAAATTGTTGCCTGGGGATTCTCAGGGTAGTCTCCACTTACAGCACAATTTCAGTTTTGCAATTCAAGGACTAAGATAAAATTTAAATACCTTAATTGTTTTTCTGGATTGATAAGGTTGGTTTTTTTCAGGACTGGAAGGGATAGCTTCAGCTCTTGGATCCTTAATTAAAATGTTAGATATCAGTTTTCCACAGATACCCTATTTTATATAATCTGTTTTGGTATTCTGTAGATTGTTGGAGGAAGGGCCAGAACTAACTGAATTACTAAAACAATCCAGGTATTTAAAAACATAATAAACCCCTTGCAATCAGTTAATTAATACTTGACACCTGGGCAGAGCACACCAAGCCATAAATTCCTGGCTGCAGGTCAGTTGTTTTGCAGAGGTACAGACTTCCAGTGCTGCTTGTGGGGGCACAGCAGCGATGGTTTCTGTGGTGCACGAGGTGCTCTGGTGTGTACACCTCACATCAGGTCACTCCTGCAGCAGGGCTGTCCTCCTGTCACTGCCAGCAGATGTGGGATTATTTAGGGAATTAATAATGCAGCTAATTGTGTAGTGACTTGTGTGCTCTTTGGAAAAATAGCTCCTCAAAGCCCTGGCACCAGACACATTCTGTCTGAAGTGTCAGAAGTTAATTGTCCATGGTCATAAAAGCTGTAATTGCAGTGGAAAAAAATGACATGGGAACTGAATTCCTATCAGTGTTTCCTTCAGGTCTGCTCTGACAAATCCCATCAGCCCAGCACATCCATCTCCAGGGCGTGCCTGGGCTGCACTGGGCAGGTGTTGGAGACCTGGCTGCTCTGCAGGCTCAGTGCATGTCTGGGTCACTGCAGGGGCTGCACAGTTGTTATTTTTTCTTTATTTTTTAAATTCAATTTTAGTCTTGCAGAAGGGGCTTTTTGGGTCAGTCATCTTAGGACAAACCTTTCTGAAGCTGTGCAGAAATACGTGTGAGGGTTTTCAGAGTTTTAGTAGAAGTGACAACTGAGAAGAAACGAAGCAAAAAGAAAAAGGCAGCCCAAGAAACTTCACCTGCTGGAGCAGCTGGGACTCCTGAGGCCTTCAGGAAGAGTCTTGCAGGGATGTTTGTGGGTCTCTGACAGCACAGGGCCAAGTCTTACTGTAAGGTGCACATCTCTCTATGTACACTGCATGAATGTGTTGTACCTGTGGGTTTGGAACAAGCTCCCAGACAGCAACATGGAGAACCTGAAAGCAGAATGCAAACATTTTTCATTTGGAGGCCTCTGTACTGTTAAGCTCCCCATGAGCTTGGCAGGATTGCTCCTGGACTTCAGAGTTTTCATGTTTGAATTCCTTTGGATCAGCTGCCTTTATTTGTTCTGGGCAGAAAGCCTTTGTATTTGTATTTATGTGTATATGTGTTATAAATATAAACCCCCCTATAAATTATTTTGTTGTTTATTTGTTTCTCCCTCTCAGATTACTCCTTGACTAGTGCAGACCTGTCTGCCCTGCAGGGATTTAACTCCCCAGGAATGCTGTCCCTGGGGCAGGTGTCTGCCTGGCAGCAGCACCACCTCCGTCCCGCGGCCCTCAGCTCTCTTGTGTAAGTACCCAGGGCAGCACTGGGGGGGCTGCAGCAGCTGCACCAGGGGAATATTCAGCACATTTTCACCTCTTGTCTGTGCTGGAAAACATTTGTGTGTGTCGAGGTGTTTGTCCCTTCAGTCACCTCCAGCTTCCAGCTAATGAGCTGTGTCTCTGCAGGCTCAGCCTCTACGAAGGGGGCACCTGTGTGGTGACTGAACTGTTTGGCAATAGAAAAGATTTGTTTGTTCTGAACTTCTCTAAATGCAGCTCAGACCTTTACTTAATGATTTTTTCACCTTTGCTCTTCCCAGTAAACTTCATTTGTTTCTGTGCCGAGCCCCAAGCCCTCACCATCACAGACACGTGAATCACCACTTGGTTTTCACTTTCTGCGTTTTCTGATTTGCACATTTCGGTTTTCCTTCCCCAGCACTGGCAGCCAGCTATCTCAGGGTTCAAACCTCTCCATTAACACCAACCAAAACATCAACATCAAGTCGGAACCGATCTCCCCTCCCCGGGACCGCGTCACCCCCTCGGGGTTCCCGCCGCAGCAGCCGCAGCAGCCGCCGCCGCCGCCGTCGCGCCAGGAGCTGGGGCGCTCCCCGGTCGACAGCCTGAGCAGCTCCAGCAGCTCCTACGACGGCAGCGACCGCGAGGACCCGCGCAGCGACTTCCACTCGCCCGTGGTGCTGGGGCGGCCGCCCAACGCCGAGGATCGCGAGAGCCCCTCGGTAAAACGCATGAGGATGGACACGTGGGTGACATAAACCCGCCGTGCCGCCTCGCAGCTTTGTGTTCTCAACATGAACTGTCCTGACATATCTAAATTTATAAATAAGGACGTGAATAAGTATATTTATATGTATATACATACGTGCATATATATATCTTCACATGCATATATATGTGCTAGTGTGTGTAGCATACACCAATCATCAGGCACTTACGACAAACTCTTGTATAGCTGCAGATGTCCCTTGGTAAAAGTAACAGAACAATCCCGTAGGTTTGAGCTCTAGTCTGGCACTTACCTGGACTCGTGTGTGACCCCAGCCCGGCCCGCGCACGGCGGCGTCCCCGCAGTGTCTCCTCCTCCTCCACACCCACCCGAGCGAGGGCTCGCCTGTAGTACCGTCCCTGTGTGTAGTCAGCTCTATGGTTACTCGTAGTTAAGAAATAATTGCTTTGTAGCAGCAGAGCAGTAGAAAAGCAGGAAGAAGAAAGCAATACTGTACATAAACTGACCTTTCTATTACCCAACCTGGCATGGGTCTCTATTGCAGAGGGTGCATGGAGAAGGGCTGATGCTATAAGAAATAAAAATAAAAAAAACAAAAACCCTGTTTTGCACGTGCAAAAAAAAAAAAAAGTGTATTGGGTCAAAGAAGTGATTTTTTTAATGAGTGAAAGAGAGCATAGAGAACTCGCATGAAATATTCAGAAAATATTAGCCTAGAAAATAGAACATTAACAAAATAAAATTAATATATTAAGTTATAATTGGAATATGTTTGACAAATTTGTTTTTACGTTCATACCTTTGAAAAATATAGAAACGGATTTTAGCTCATGTATATTTTATATTAAAGAAAACAATACCCTAATGAATTGAAGACTATATATAAAGTTATATACAGTACTTTTGAACACATTCTGCTATGAATTATTTATATAAGCCAAAGCTGTATGTTGTAGCTTTTTTGTAGAGTATAGTTTTATCTTATTTTGACTTTCTAGTTTTTGCTTTCAAAGATGAAAAGGAAAAACTTGCAGGCGGAACCTTGGGGGAAAAATAAGCCATGAACACTTATATGTAAATTTAAATTTGAGCCAAACTCTTTGTGTATATAGCATCCTAAATATATTATCACCTTTGGTGTAAGTACCTATGTATTGTACGGTCACCAGATTAAAAAGTATATTTTTGTGGATTGACGCCAACTTGAAACAAGGCGAGGTCCTTATTAAGTAGAGTATTCACTGTTTAATATTTACTATTTTGTTAAATATACTGTACTTTCTTTGGATTTTAATTATTATTAATATTATTATCCAGATTTTTCAGAGGGTGTATAAAGGGGTTGGCCCCCTCACTGGTGGTGAATGTGTGCCGTTCAATTGTAATCTCTGTGCTGTATGGTTAAGCTTCATTATACATTTTATATATATGTATATAAATAGCAAAGTGGCAAAAAAAAAATCCGGTGTTAAGTTCATCCTGCATAAATATAAAAAATCTGTTACAACACATTTTAAGGCATCATTTTAAAGCTGCCTCTTCTGAGGAGGAAAAAAAACCAGTGGAAAAACTTGACCTAATTTCTCATGATAGGGAAATGACACATATCAGAGGAGCACAAAAGGTTTTGTGAGTTGGCAAGTGGTTTGGGAAAAATTTGCTGCTTCCAAGAGAGGGAGGAATGCAGAGCCCCCTTGTGCCACGAGACTGGGCTGGGAGCAGGTTTGGTGTCGGATGCGGGGCCGTGATCCCACGGGCGCTCCCGGTCACCTCCAGGCTGGCAGTGCTGGTTCTGGTGCAAGCTGCAGAGCCCTGGGATTGCCCAAACTCTTCAGAGTTAGCCCTGATATTTATTACGGTTTTTGCTTGGGCTTTTTTTTTTTTTCCAGTTAGGAAAAATCCCTTGCTGCTGTAAGGGAGGGGTGAGAAGGGCGGGGTCCCTGTGGTCCCTGTGGCCTCCAGCCCTGTCTCGCTGTCCTGGCACCGTCAGAAGCCGCAGGGGCTGCAGTGCCCTCGGGCCCTTCCCTTGGAACTGCTGCCCTTCCCTGGGTTCCTCCCGGCTGGCAGGAGGGTGCAGGCAGGAGGGACACATCCCCATGGCCGCTGTCCCCAGTGACCCAATCCACTTGCTGCTCCCTGGAACCTTTTGCTGCTCTGACCAGTGATGTGAGTTCCATGATTTATGCACCTGTATGAACTTTGCTGTACATCCGAGTGGGAGTTCTGCATTCACATTTACTGTCTATTTTCTTGTGTGCCTTATCAGATGGCTTTGCTGACTGTATCTCAATAGTCTTTATTTCTATGCAGGTTTTTAAACAGTACTTAACTACTGTTTTCTTAAAGACAAAGCTACACAAGGGTTAGAGTTTGTATTGAAATTGCACCAATGAATTAAAAAAAATAATAAAAAGAATCAGTTCTAAAGAGCTGGGCAAGGGAGTGGCCCTGTGCTGCCCCAGCCCCGGCAGAAACCTTCCACAGCCCTCCGGTCTCGGGGAGCACCTCCTGCCACCGAGGACATGGGAATCCTGGTTTTTAATAACAAGTAACTCACTTTGAAACATACTTTTTTAGAAATTGTAAAAATGTTTTATATAAAAAAAAAGAGATGACATAGCACAGATATTTCAACAGGTTAAAAAAAAAACTTTTTAAAATTATCTCTGCTGACTGAAGTGCAAGTGGATCCAATCCTGGGCTGAACCCAGTCAGGTCTGAATGATTTAAGATTTTTATCTCTGTTGTGACAAATCACCTCCATCCTCGAGCTCTCACGATAGTTTTGAGAACGCCACGTTGTCAGGGACTCGTCAGAGAGAACTGCTTTAGCCTTGCCTTCCCTCCAAGGACACTAATGCATCAGAAACTTGCGAGTTACTGTGCGCACAAGAAATACATAGTAAATAAGGAACAAAACAACTCCTAACAATTGATCCTGGGCAGAAGTTAAATCCGAATGTGAAAGAAAGACTTAACCAATGTAAACATTTAAATCTTAGTAGAACCTTTCTTCACTTTGCTGTGCAAGAGAACACTGCTTTGCTATATTTAAAATGGCTTTTTTAAAAGAGATTTATGTATTTGGTAAATGTTTGTAGTCAACAGTTCACAAGAAGCTGTTCACGGTTTAATGCTGATAAGCCGTTTGGCGGCACAAGCTGGACTTTGTTGCCATCCTTGAGACGAATCTTTTAAGAAAAAAAATAAGTTAATCTCAATTTTTTTCCCTGAATGTGTTGTTTTTTCTTCAATATACAATAAATATTCTAGTGAACTTTTTATCAAATGGTTAAGAAAATGCTAGAGGTTGTTGTAAAATATTTGTATCCTGCATTCACTAAAGTAAAGATACTGGCTTTTACTGTGTACTCCGGCCTCTCTCGTGTTTGCAGAGCACTGGTCCCGTCCGTCCGGCGCGTCCTTGTCCCCTCCAGCTGTCAGTGCAGGTGCCAGGTGTTGGTTCTGAACTGCAGCCATGAGGGTGCTCAGCAGCAGGGATACACACAGCTTGTTAGTGCACTCAAGGACTGATGCCTGCTAAGAACCTTCCTATAAAATGTGGAGAAACTGGCAGATGAACCAGGCTCCATTGGGAGTGCAGAGCCCAAGGGCAGTCCTGCCTCTCGGTTCCTCCTGCTGCTCCCAGTCCTGCTCACAGGTGGGGCTGCAAGGGGCCCCTCATTCTAAGGCAGCTGCTCAGCTGTGTGGTAGCAAATAAAGCACAGGCTGTGCCCCTTGTGCTTTTATTTCATGTGGCTTTATTTAAAAATATAAGAACCTGGTCCCGCCCGTCCCCAGAACAAAGAGATACAGCTCTTCACAGAAGAAAAATACAAGATTTTGTTCAGTATAAGATACTTTGGAGTGTTCCTTTATAAAATTAGGTTCCCACTTTTGAGGGCTGCAGGGAACACAGGTTCTCATTGTAGCAGCACAAGGTTGTGCCTGTGTGGTGTGGGGTCCTCACCTTGCTGGAGACACTTCGATCCTCCCTGTGGAGGCAGACAGTGCCAGGCAGAGGCACAGAGGCACAGAGGCAGTGTGTGTCCCTCAGGCCAGGCTGAGGCCACACCTGCACAGCAGGTGCTCCTAGCACAGCCCCGCCCCAGCCGGCCTCAGGCTGCCAGGGGAAGCTGGGCTGGGCAGCTGCAAATGGGGCTGGGCCACAGCAGCTTCCTGCTCCTGCCCACCAGCGCTGCCCTCACCCTCAGCACCAACAGCACCTGCCCACACATGTAGTGGTTGGTTCCAGGAAAGCCTTTACCTCTGCCCACAGGCCCAGAATTTGCTGAATCAAATTTCTAAGGCAAGTTCTTCTCTTTAGCAAAGCTCCCAAGGCTTCCCTTGCTGCTCCCTTGCAGCAGGTAGTGTTTGCTGAGTGGCCCTGAAGAGCACAGCCCTGGGCTGACCAACACCTCCATTGCCCTGTGAAGCTTTTCAGTGCACGTGCTCAGTTCACAGAAACTGTCACAGTCAGCAGCGTCACAGTCCTCTCCAGAAAGGCTTCACCCTTCTTTCTTCTTGGGCTTCTGTCCTGGGCCTGCAACCTGCACCCAGCTCCCACTTCACTTCCACTCAGACTGCACACAAGGAAATAATTCCATGCCTGAGCTGGGTCTCTGAGAAGCACCACTACAGACTATTATTAGTTTTTTTAGCTAATAATACTGACTCGAGCTCCTGCCAGCAAATGAGCCCTTGAGAAGTGCCTGTGACTCCTCTCTCGTGCTCTCCTGTCCTCATCCAACAGCCCCTGCAGGGCTGAGCAGCGCCCTGGGACAGCTCAGATCCTGCACTGAGATCTCTGAGGGATTTCACTGAGGGGAAGAGGTCTGGGCTCACCCTTCCCAGGGCTGGGCCTGATGCATCTCAATTGAACACAGCTCAAAGATTTGCTCAGGGGGGTGACAAGGTGGGGTGCTGGCAGCATCATTGTGCCCTGGCATACCCAGCTCAGAGCTCCAGAAGGCATCATTAGGGTCAAGCAGGCCAAAACCACCATGGTCTGCAAGAGACAAAAGTGACACTTCTGAGAAAAAGTGTCCCTCGCTTCTATTTCAGCAAAAAGTGTTTCCTTAAAATGCAAACAACCCCCAACTTTCCAACCACATTAATACTGCACTCTCTAGCTCAGCAGCAAAGAATTTGCTTCTAGACACGGTATTAAGAAATACCTGAAGCAACCATAATGAATAAATTGCTACAAAATACTTTCCCTCAACAGAGTTCCCAACTCTGAAGCCACCTGGGTGATGATCTCTTTAAGCAACAAAGCATCTTTGTTTTTCTATCAAAATCACATCACCTCATTTTCAGTCAAATTCAGGATTACATCATCAGCTACTTATAAAAATAAAAATAATCTGTATTGTTGTATCCCCTCGGGTGCACTTGAGTCAGTCACGAGCATATGGGCACCACTGCTGGAGAGGCTGAAGTGGGCTGCCCTTTCACCTTAGGATTTTTTTCCTACGACTGAGTCTTGTGGTAATTTCCCTTCCTATCCAGCCGATGAAACATTTGAGTTTGTCATGTTAGAGGTGTGGGCCACCAGGCCTTGTGTTTTAAAATAGATGATATAAAACACTGGCAGGACGATTCCTATCAGGAGCATAATGAACACGGCGTTCCACCACTGGATTCCGCAGTCCGCGCCGTTCCCGGCGTTGTCCCGGTTCCCCGCCTCGGGCAGGGGCCTCTCCAGCCCCTCCCCGCCGTACTCGGCGTTCAGCTGCACCTCCACCTGCACGGCGTCCTGGATGCTCTGGTCGATGCCCCTGAAGTACTCACTGACTCGCTGGCCGCCAGCAGCGCTGCCCGCCCCGGGCTCGGGCTCCGGCGGCTCCGCGCGCGTCCGGCCGGGCTGGGCGGGCCCCGCCGGGGGCGGCCGCAGGGCCCCCGCGCCCTCCGTGAGCAGCCCGTGCGGCCGCACCGGGATCTTGATGGACTTCAGCGCGTACAGGTCCTGCTCCCGGATGAAGTTGTTGACGCGTTTGATATCTGCAACCTAAGGAATCCAGAAAGGACACAAACAGTGAGGGCAGGACGGCCCAGGAGTGAGGCAGGAAGCAGCTACAAAACCAGTGTGCAAGGAGCTGTCAGGGAATAAAAGCAGGCCCTGGATGCAGGTGGTTTGATGTCCTGAGAGATTCTCCAGCAATTCCAGGGTAGAGTCAGTCCCCTGTGAAACCAGTCTACAACCTCCACCTCTTGTACCTGCTGTATTTTGCTCCATACTGCTCTTCCTTCTCCTTGCTTTCTTTGCCCTTCTTTCAGTGAAGGCAAGAAGAATCTTTTTAACTAACAGATCCTTTTAAAAACTATTTTCATACCTTACATGAGTGCTTAAGGTGAGAGCACAACACAGTGTGAGCATCCCCTGCTCAGGAAATTACTTCAGAGTGATCAGAGCTCCATTCTGGGAGCACAGCAGTTGTGAAAGCAAGGGCACAGCCTGGAGAGCAGGCACGAGCATCCTCTGCTCAAGGAACACCTCTCTGCTGCAGGACAGAGCTCATCCTGAGCATGTCCTGCTGAAGGACAATCACCTCTGCTCCTGTCACCACCTCTGGTGGTTCCTGTGTAGGGCTCCTGTCTGTGAGCTGTGTCCCCACCCAGCAGCCACATGTGCAGCATCAGACAGTGCCAATGCAAGGACAAAGGCACAGCAGCATCCCTCAGTTAACATTAACCAAGGGAAGATGCTTAATCCAGTGGCCACTCACAGGCACCCAGCAAGCACAGCAACTGCTCAGTGGCACTAAAGCCTCTGTCAAAGGAAAGGAACAGGATGTCAGCGTGTGCCAGGAGCTCTCTGCTGCAGCCAAGGAGATGTGAAAGAACCTTGAGGAGAAGGCTGGAGGGCACATAAAACAGCAAGAGCCAAGGCAAAGAGAAAGGCAACACAAACAGGTAAAGCACCTCTCATCCATCACAGCAGAGACACAGCACAGGGACTGTGCTTTGCTCTTCAAAAATCACAGCGTGCCCTGCATTCACTGCACACACGCCTGAGGCTGCCAAGGAAACTGGGGAGCTAAAACAAAAAAACCCACTTTACTTCCTAAGCACTCTGCTCAGAGGTAGAGAGGAGAGGAGATGGAGGACTGAATCTCATGTTTACTCTGCAAAGCTTGAGAACTCTGAAAATGGCACATTTAATCCAGGACCTGATCTGGGGACCCTGAGGCAAAAGGAATCCTCAGTCACTGCTTTGGGCTCCTCACAGCCAGCCCCAGTGTCAGCTCTGGACTTAAACCCTGCAAAATTTCTTAGTTATGAAATAACAATCTCACCCAGAGCCTCCTAACTGAGGTGCTGCTTCAATTTCTGGATTTGTTCCAATGAAAACAAATTACTGGGACAGTAAATATCCCCCGTGGTGTCTGCAATCAAATACTGCAGTGTGGTGCTAAGACTCTAGAAACAGAAAGTGGAGCAGCACTCACACAGAAACAACAAACAAAGCTGATGGGAAGCAAGCGAGAGCTTGGGCTGCACAAGCATTTAAGCTTATTTTCTGTACTCATTTTTTGGCTGCAGTGAGCTCCTCTTGTCCCAGCCTAAGAACAATGCCAAAAGCAAGCCAGGACTATAAATGGTCAAGAGTAAAAATGAGAATTTTGAAGTGTTTTGCATCTCTGCCAAGTTATCTGTGGCACACACACAGAGCTATTTGTTGCAGTGTCTTACTATCCCCTCCCCAAGCAGATTCTGAAACCAATGTCAAGTTCTCATTGATTTCAAGGAGAAGTTCCTTCTGGATTTTTACACACATTTGCCTGTATATCTGTGGTTACAGTTCTCACTGCTGTCCTGGTGACCTTTCAGGAGCTATTTAATTGTGCAAATAAAATAAAACACATGAAAACTGTCATGCCAGTCTTTAAAGAGACAAATAGACAAATCTCCTGCCATAAGGACTTCGGTATCTGTTCAGTTTAAGTGGAACAAGTCAGAAGTGCCCTTTCTGGAAGGGAGGGGGGCAGCAGGACAGTTTTTGTCCTGTGGGAGGACAACACTGACTACGTGGTGCTCATCAGCTTGCTTTTCCCCTGGGCAGGCCCAGCAGCCTCCAGAGGGGCTGAAAGACTCCAGGAATGGAGCAGCAGAGGACACAACTGAGCCACAGCAGGGACAGAACTGGGTGACAGTGCAGAGCCACAGCAAGACTCTTCATAAACCAAAGAACTGCTCAGAATCCCCCTCCTCTGAGTTCACCCCACTGCTGTGTCTGCCCAGGTGCTGCTGAGAGCAGCACACACCCAAGCACAGCTCAGCTCTGCCTCTCAGGCTCTCCTGGGGCCAATCAAGGCCTATTCAAGCCCTACCAGACTCACTTCTCCACACGCATTGGGCTCGTCAGCACAACATACAAGGGTGCCTTTTTTGTTTTGCTTTTGTTTCTAAGGGCACGGGAGGGGAGGAATTGCTGCAATCCCTCTAAGGCCTCTTGCCTCAGCTGCACCATACAGCTGCTGTGTGGTTAAGCAAGACAGACTGCACTGGCAGGGCAGCACTGGAGCCAGAGCTGTGTCATTACCCCCTCTGTGGTTACAGGCCAATTGTTTCATCATGGAACTCTGAAATCACAGTCCAGCTTGCAGATAAAGGGGGCTCTAAAAATACAGCTCCAACTGCTGAACAACAGGGGGCTTCTAATGTTCAGAGCAGGTAATTCAACTTTCCAGCAGTTTTGCTCTTTTTTGGAACAAAGAAAACGTGCTGTGTAGTTGTTCCAACTGAGAAATCTCCCTGTGCACACGCCCTCCCTCCTGCCCACGGCACCTGAAGTGTGCACGCTTGGGATGACAGCAAACAACCAAAACCCAAACACAGACAGCACCTGGACTTTGGGACTGAACTTTGGTGCCTCTCCACGTCCTCCCCTGTTAGACTCAGACCTTCCTTGCAAAATGTAAGCTGATACCTTTCAAAAAATAAACAAAAAACCCCACCCATAACTGCGATGTTTCTTTGTGCTGCTCAATTTGCTTCAAAAACTCCACTGTTCCTTGAGAGCAGAGCCCTCATTTCTACACTCAGCTCCCTAATGTTTGCCCTCACTGAAATAACTTGGTACAACCTGCACTTAGTCACTGAAATTAAACAGGAAAGCAGGTCAGGCAGGGTGTGAGGCTTTTGGCTGAACAACCATGTTTTGTGTTTGTCTGGGGTTATTTTTGCCTTTCTCCAGTTTTACAGACAATGACCATTCATACAATGCTCAGGGCCAGCACCTGCCGGTGTCAGAGCTACCAGACACAGGTGAAGCCCCGGGGTGGTTGAGGCTCACCTTACAGCCGTACTGCAGGGCCAGCTTGTTGAGGCTGTCCTCCTCGGTGAGTTCCCTCTCCAGGAGCACCACGTCCCCCGGCCTGCCCCGGGCGGCGCTGCCCCGCTGCTGCTCCTTGCCCCGGGGCCGCAATTCCATCACGTTCAGCTCCTCCTCCGAGGACTCCTCCGAGTCGGAGCGGCCACTGGGGAACACGAACAGCTGCCTGCCCGGGAAGGTGTGCACAGTGGCAGGGGCCTGGAAGGGTCTCGTCCGGCTCTCGTGCAGCCTCATCTTTCACACCGGCAGCACCTGCAACAAAACCCAGACACTTTCAGTTTCCTCAAGACCAGCGTTTAGCTCTGCAATCAGTAATTTTTTTCCAATTTGTTTTTTTTTTGGTCTGCCTGTGAACAAACCACCTTATAACTATGTTGCTCAACATTTTAAATGCTACATCCTATAATTTTATTTAAAAAGCTACATTCTATTATTCTATTTAAAAAGCACCTTATAACTATGTTGCTCAACATTTTAAATGCTACATTCTATAATTTTATTTAAAAAGCAACACAGTCCCTTGAGCAAACGGTCTTTAATTACAGTCAAAACATATATCAGGTCTACCAACAGACATTAAAAACTGAGCAAAGTTATCCTTTTCATAAGTCCTTAGCTCTCTACACTTTAGCAATCCACATCCACATTTTAAACTCTTGGAAAAGCACTTTTTTTTTTTTTTTAAAGTAAGGACAGCTCATGCTATACTTAACTTCAACCCGAATAACAAGGCTTCATTTTGCTGCATGAAGCCTAGAACCTGCCTGAGCACTTTAATTATTGCTCAGCCTACAGCTGCGAGTTCGGTTTTTTTTTTTTTCTTCAATCCTCAGCTCCACAAACAATTTGTTGTTAGGATGAGGTATAGGTAAGAAAACCCCACATTGTTACGGATCCTTGACCTTAACGTTCTCCATCTACCCCTAAGGGACTCCTCAGGTGAAACCACTACGATTTAATGGCATTTCCTTGGCCCCGGGCACAGCTGCGGGCTGGGCTCGGCTGTGCCGAGGGACCCGGCTGGACGCTGCTGTGGGACCCCCCCGGCCTCCCCGGCACAGCTCCCTCCTCAGGCGCTGCCGAACTCTCCCCAGGCTCCTCCGGGGACCCGACCTCGCCAGCATTTCAGGGGGACCTCCTGCCCTCAAGGGAGCCCGGTTCCCTCAGCATTTCGGGAGTCCTTCGCCCCTCAGCTCCCGCTGCCCTCGGCACGTCGGGGGTCCCGGTCCCCCAGGGGTCCCCGCTCCCCTCACAGGGTCTCGCTGCCCTCAGCGCCTCAGGTGACCCCAACGCCCTCAGCACCTGAGGAGGGTCCGGATCCCCTCAGAGTGTCCCGGTCCCCCCCGGGGCCCCGCTCTCCTCAGCCCTTCATGGGACCCCTCTCCCCGCAGGAGCCCCCCTCCCCTCAGGGTGTCCCGCTGCCCCGAGGACCCCCGTTCCCCTCAGGACCTCCCCGTTCCCACCCCCCACCCAGCGCTCCCCTCACGGACCCGCCGCCATCGGCCCCGCACCAACCTGGCCACGGTCTCGCCCAGCCCTCCTCCCATTGGCTGGCGGCGCCGGCAGGCGGGACCTCAGCGCCGCTCGGCCAATGGGAGCTCGGCAAGGGCGGTGGGGAGGGAGGAGATGAGCGGGCGGAGCCGGGACGGGCAGGGGGCGGGGCCTCTCTTAAAGAGCCCGCGCCCCCGTTCCGGCCGGGCCGGGACCGAGCCCTGAGCGCTCGGGGGGACACACACCCGAACAGAGGGACACCTGAACAGAGGGATATATCACACACCTGCATAGCCCCGGGTGAGATGCCACTGCCCCAGGACACGTCACACACCGGTACAATGGGTCAGGCCACACACCTGAATGATGGGTGATGTCACACACCTGAACCACAGGTCGTGTCACACACCTGTACAGCCATGGGTGAGAAGCCACAGCCCGGAACACATCACACACGTATACAAGGGGTCATGTCACACCCTGCAGAGCCCTGTGCTACAGTAACATCTCAGTTACTGCATTATTAATGTGTAATAACAGATTACAGTGTGTCCATATTACAATGTGTCCATATTACAATATGGAAATTTTACAATGTGTCCCTATTTCTGCCCTGTGGGTGCCTGCAGAGCTGACCAGCTGTACTCCACACTCTGTGTTTGCTTTGGCTCACCCTGACTCATGGCTGATGTTTAAAAAACAAGCTCAGGACACGCTGCTGGCAAGTCCCACATTGGAAGCTTTTCTGGGTGCAGGGACAGCAGGAATGATGCTCTCCTTGCCAGCTGTCAGAATTAAGCAGGCACTCCCCCAGGTGCCCAACGGGGTGAAGATCTCCTGCAGGGACAGCCTGGGGTCTGGCTGCTCTCTGCCCTACAGGTGATGGAGAAACCTGCTTTCAAATGAAATTAAAAAATTAAACCTGCTTTTAAGTGAAATGAAAGCCGAGTGCAGTTGTTGCCATCCCTTTGCCTTCCCCTGTGCAGCCCCAGTGCTGCAGGCAGGAGGGGAGGGCATTCCCTGTCCAGCTCTGGCTACCCCTGGATTAGACACAGCATCAGCTGGTAAATGTGACACACTGAGGGGAAAGAAGGCTCCTCAAGCATCAAGAATCTCTTTAAGCAGCAGCTGTTCTTCTCAGCTCTTACCTGCCCACACACCTTGGTGGGGCTGAGGGGTTTTGGCAGGGATGGAAGGGTGCTGGCACAGTGGCCAGGCAGGACTGGCTGAGCCAGCTCCCCATCTCCCAGCAGCATCTCCTTCCCTCCATCCCTGGGCCTGATCATCCCAGGAGCAGATGACTTTGGGCTCAGGCTTTGTTGCTGGCCCAACAGATGGTGGATTTAGAGTGCTGATGAGGGCTTTACAAGCATGGGGAGTAAGCTTGCCAAAATGCCTTCCCTGAGCCGCTTGGAGCCTCTCTGTGACTACTGAGGTTCAAAAGTTACAAGCAATAATCACATTTTGTCAAACAGATCCAGGTTACTCAGGGTAACCTGTCAAACCTGAAAAATGAACTGCTGAGGAAATGCTGGAAATGTGGGGGAATCAACCAGGCTTTGCTGACAGGGCTCAGTCTGGGCTGGATTACTGTCCTCGATGGTGTCTAACAAGAAATAACTGTTTTGTGGGAGTGCTGATATTGGATCTGGGTCAATTGCATGGGTGATGTCATCATTGCAAATAATTGGAATATTTTTGTCGTTAGCAGACAGATTGTGAGAGCTGCACAGCCCCAAACAAGCAGAGTCTGTCTGAGAGCTCAATGGTTCAGTCATTATCTGCACTCAACCAGCACAAGGGTCATTCTGAAGGTGCCCTGAACTTCAGGAAGAATCCTCCTGCCCTGACTGAGATCAGTGCACAGGGTGACAGAGCTGTCTGCTCATTTGCACTCAAGGCAAAGAGCAGCGTGTCCATGGTGCTGGGCACCAGCTGGAATTCACAAACACGCCAGCTACTGCCCAGAGTTAATCCCTGTGATAATCAAAACCTTCATGAAGGTCTTGGCTCTCCAAATAATCTAGAACAGGGCACCTCTCCTTTGTCCCTGTGATTCCTGGGAGCTCTTGCTCAGACCCAGAACTGCAGTTTTCCTCATCACTTGGGATTTGTCCCTCTCTCTTCAGGCTCATTTCAGAAGTGTGAGAAGTGTCAGACACACATTCCCTGTGTTGTTCTGTGCTTCTCTTTCAGCTGCATTCTAAGCTGTGCAATGAAACCTCTCACTCAGTGACAGGCTGCTCTCCACCCTTGAGTAAAGAGTAACTTCAGAAAAAACTTCTTGAGCATCTCTTTAGTATCAACCAATCACTCCTGCTTAGTTTAGCAGATATCTGGGAAAGGTTCCTACACAGCACTGTGAGGAAGCAGGAATCTGCTGATATTGCTGAGTTATACACACAAAAAGAGAAAAAGATGAATATTCCTTTTTACCTTCATTTCATTGTTCCCTAGTGGGAGACTGAGAAAGCAGCTGGAGCAAACCCCACCCATACTCTGGACATGGCATTATAGAAATTATGATGTCTCTCCTGAAAATAATTAATAAGAGCTGGGCTCTGCTCTGGCTTTGGACTAATGCAGCACAACCAATTTTAGTGGAGCTACCCCTGTGTTAAGTCAGAAGCACAAGCCAAATACAACAAAATAAACCTTTCCCCTGGTACCTGGAGTGACTCAGCTTCTGTGGGTACTGCATGTACATTTGATTGAATTATACACACAGCTATAATTTTAAGAGGTTCATACAGTAAGCATCCAACACAGGGGGGAAAACCTCAGCCAAATTAAATTAATTATAGGTAAATACTTAATAGAGTTAATTGAGCTGTGGAGGTTACTCAGAGTGCATGTTTGGTAGCATCAGGTTACACCTTGTCTCTTTCTAGGCCCTTGGAGCTTGTGCAGCTGAGCAGGTGCCAGACTCTGCCATGGAGCACAAGTCCTGTAATTGTCTGCCCTGGGAGGGTCTGGGGCTGCAGGAAGGAGCTGATGGCTCAGGTGGTGGCATCAGGAAAGGAGCACAGAGCCCCTTCCCTGCAGGGACATCCCTGCTCAGGGCCAGCCCGGGCACAGCCCTGCCCCAGCCTCTGCAGTGTGAGCCCAGCCCCTGGGGCAGGTGACAGCCACTCATGGTGTCCCTCCACGAGCAGAGGGCTGTGTCACCTGAGCCAGGCTGTGAGGAGCTGGGTACCCAGCGGGTGACAGCCACTCATGGTGTCCCTCCACGAGCAGAGGGCTGTGTCACCTGAGCCAGGCTGTGAGGAGCTGGGTACCTGCACCTCTGGCTTCTCCCAGGGCAGAAGCAGCTCCTGCCTCCATCTTCTCACACTTCCTCTCCTGTGTGGAACAGAGCAGGTGTGACAATAAAGGCCCAGCTTCATCATTCATCTCAGACACCAAATTACTCCCACCTAGGGGACTACATTTGCATCTCTCTCACGTATGCAGTGACTCAGGAGTGGGGCTTTTATCTGGGGAAGCAGAATGCAGATCTGAATGGCACTGCTGTCTCCTGGAGGAGATAAGGTGTCTCTGCTCAGAGCCCTCGTTCTGGGCTTGCCTTCTATCACACAGGTCCATTTGGCAGGGGCTGCCTGGTGTGTGTGATAGCAGGCACTGAATTACTTCAGAAAAACAGACTTTTTCTTTCTATAAAAACAAATGACTAATTAAAAGTGGTTTTAATTTTGTAATTCACATTTCCTTGGGATTGTCCCAGACTCTGGAGTCCATGGTCCACACCCTGTCCTTCTGGAGAAATTTGGCGAGGGAAAGCACTGTGAGATTTGTTCCCTTTCCTCTCTCTTACTCCTAAAATCCCCCCTCCCCCTTTTCCCTTCCTGCAACTGGTAAATTGTGAAGAACAGGAATGTTCCTGGGAAGAAACCCAGGCAGAATTGCATTCAGAACAAGTCAAAGATTTCTTGCATAGCTGAAGCATGTGTTTGCAATCCCCAATTGCTGGAGCACGTAAGCCCTACCAGCGAGTGCTGTTCCCTTCAGATGTTCTCAGAGAGCTCCAGGCAGTGTCCAGGGCAGCCTGTGGACAATCTGAGCTGAGGAATTGCTCCACGGCCCATCTGTTCATGGTGCCATGCCAAAATGTTCTTGGTGAAAGGATGGCAAAGAGCCAGCCCTACCACTCCAAGGAGCTGTGCTGGGGATGGTCAGGAAAGCTGCTCTGGGACCTCCCCCAGCCACAAACTGGTTCCATGAGAGAGCTTGGCTGCTACTACCAACCTGTCAGCCCAGGCTTCAGGCAGCTTTTGGGATTGATGCTCTCCAGAATAGTCAGCATGTGCTACCCCAACAAAGGACAAAACCACAAGATCCCAAATTGTAACTGCTGGGAAGCAGCAGAGAGCCAGCAACTCCAGCCTGCTCTCCCTTCAGCTTGAGAGGTGCCACTGATCCAGAGAGAAAATTACCTTTCCAAGGGGTGCTGTTCAAACCTTGAACCTGACAGGGCCAGGAGGGATGGGAACTGGGGGCTGGGACGCTGCTTGGGAAAAGCAGCTTCAATGTATTTGTGAGGAAGCTTTTGTCCTTGGCACTACACGGAGCACAGGATATTACAGGAGCACAGAGGGAGCTCTTGGTGCTGATTCTGGGGAGAGGCAGGTTGATAAAAGCATCACTTGTCTTTCCAATGACCTTCTCATGTGAGCTGAGCCTGCCAAGAGCTGTCTGTCACTGTGTGCCCTCGTGGCCTGAGCCAGGGCTCCTGGATGCTCTGTGCCGTATCCGACATCGCTCGGCATTGCTGGGAGGCTCCCAGGGCTCACACAGGTCCTGCCTGGGACCAGGACACCTCTGAGCTTTGCTGCCTCCAGATCATCTCACTTCCAAACAGGCCCAATCTGATTTTGAAGGTTTTTGAGTATAAGGAACATCCTGAGCCTGAGAGAGGAACAGAAGGAACAGAAGATTCTTCCAAAGCAAGATCCTTGACCTCCAGAGCTGTGTGGCTGTGCTGGCTCCTCTTCAGGCTTCCCAATAGTGTTCACAAGGTCTTTACTGGTGTGTGGCAACAATAATGAGCAAGCAACACGTGGGGGCAGCAGAAGGCTTTGCTTCCTTGTCTGGGAAGGTTGGAGCATCCTTGCAAGGGTCCTGAAGAGCCCAGGTGCTCCCAGGTTTGAGGGTCATTGTGCTGGGCACGAGCTGCAGCTGCTCAGACTCTGGGACAAGGATGTTGTTGGACAGAGGGGCTTTGTGGCCTCCTGGGACAGGATGTCAGCACTGAATCCTGGGATTTTGTCACTGCATCTGGTCCTGCAGGCCCAGCCCAAGCACTGCCATGCTCATGCTCAAAGATGACATGCTCATGTTCAGCCAGAAGACAGACACAAGGTTGTCCACTATGGAA